CTTTACAGTTTCTCCCAATGGTAACATTTTATATAAATACAGGATAATATCAAAACTAGGAGACTGACACTGCATATATATTTCTTTAGCATTTTACTACATATGTAGATATGTATAACTGCCATCTTAATCAACATACATAGATATTTCATGATCACAAAGATAGCCCCTGTGATAAACCCTTATAGATGCAGTCTCCCTCTCTCCTATCAGCAACTTATAACAACCACTAATATGATTTTCAAATTTATAATTTTGTCATTTAAAGAATTTTATATAATTAGAATCTTGTGCTAAGCGAACTTTTGAAATTTTGTTTTCGCATAGTGTACTATCACAATTCATTCAGGTTGAAGCATAGTTCATACCTTTTTAAAAAAATTTTTTATTTTAAATTTATTTATGCATACAAGAATTGGGGTGTAGGCCAGTGGTGTGTGTGTGTGTGGGTACTCACCAGAGACAGAGAGGGGAGCAGAAAAGGCGGGTCTACTAAAATACCATCCTAAGGGGAGCAGTGGCTAAGACAAGAAATGTCTGCCTAGCCATGTGGATTAGCTCCCTGACCTGTGTATTGAATATATACTGCAGTGGCTGGCAATAGTTTGATAGCATTGGGACTTTAACCCTTGTGCCACTTGGGAGGCCCAGTTTATACACATTTTTAACTGCAATATCTAGTTGTTTGTTATTACAAACAACTAGATCATTTATACTTAATGTAATTATTGATATGTTAGGCCTTACACCTACCGTTTCTGCTTTCTTCTTTTTTTTATGTTTCTGTTTTTGTTCGTTTATAATTAAAACAATTAATTTACAACACTGTATGATTCAGAAATATAGTATCCCACCTCTTCAGGTGTGTGTTAACACACCACAGCCACCACCAAGGTATCTGTGGATTTCTATCATAGTCCATTGTGTTCCCTTTCCTTCTTTCCTCTACCCTCCTCCTCTGATAAACCCTTTTATAGTCAGATTTCCAGGTTTTTTTGGCTGATAGTTTGTTTTGTTCTTTATATTCCACATATAAGTGAAGTCATGTGATATTTACCTTTCTCCTTCTGAATTATTTTGCCTAACATAAATCTTTCTGGCTCATTCATGCTGTTGCAAATGATGAGTTCATCTTTTTTTTTTTAATAACTGAGGAGTATTCCATAATACACTACATCTTAGTCTACTCAAAGATCTACAAAGAACGCATACACTCAACAAATATGGACAGGAGAGCTAAATAGGCACTTCTCAAAGAAGACATACAGATGCCCAACAGGCATATGAAGACAATGCTTATCATCCCTTGTCATCAGGGAAATGCAAATCAAAACCACAATGAGATAACCACCTCACACCTTTGAGAATGGCCCATATCAAAAAGATGAAATAGCAAGTGCTGGTGTGGATGTAGAGAAAAAAGAATCCTCTTACAGTGTTGGTAGGAAAGTAGACTGGTCCATTTCCTATGGAAAACAGTATGGAGTTTTCTCAAAAGATTAAAAATACATCTGTCATATGACCCAGCAATTCCACTCCTAGGTATCTACCTGAAGGATATAAAAACAATAATTTGAAGGGATATTTGCAGCCCCATGCTCATTGCAGTACTATGTAAAACAGCCAAGCTACAGAAGTGACTTGAGTCTTAGAAGTGACTTAAGTTTCAAAATACAATGATCGGATTAGGAAGTTGTGGTATATATGTTCAAAAGAATACTATTCAGAAATCAAATAATCAACCCTGGCCTTATACAGAAACATGGATGGAGCTGGAAGGGATTATGCTAAGTGAAAAATGTCAGAAGAAGGAAAAAAATGTTGAATGATGTCACTTATATGTATAATATAGAGAAGCCAAACCAAGGCTGAAGCCAAACTATGAATCCTACTAAAAAGCTGATGATGAAATTTAAATTACCAGAGGGAAAGGGAAAGAGGGTGAGGCAAGATCAAAGTGGGGAAGAACATAAGGGGTTAAGGTGGTAGACTATGTGTGTTTTGGTGGTGGGTATAGGGTGATAAGACCTGAAAGGGGAGACCCTATGTTTCTAAAACAAACAGCTTTGTAAACCAATGTTACTTCAATTAAGAAAAGAAAAAGATCTTAAAAATAGCAATAGTTCCTTAGACCTTTTTTTTTTCCTGTAAAGAGCAACAGGGTCTCTTTTATATTCTCTTTTAAGCTCTTTCTTCTAGGAATAAGTCATTCATTTCATTTATTTTACTCTCTTGGGAATGAATGTTTTCGAGGTTCTCTTTATTACCTTTATAGATTTTTTGGAGAAGGACAAGTAGGATATTTTGTTTTGCTAATAGAGAGATAAATCAACATTCTAGATTTGCATGCATTCCAATCAGATGCACTAGTCATCTCTTAGTGCGATTAACTTACACCAAAATTCTTTCAGTTGAGCTACAAAATGTCCCTAGGATCAACTGCCATTATTTTTAGCATCAGAAAGAAATTTCTGTTAAACCAGTTAAGTTAATGATATATTCTTATTTGTGGTTTATTTATCTACTTTGTGCATCTTGGTTAATGGGGTTTGGGAAAGTTAAATAGTATGAGTGGCAGTGTAAATAACTAGTATAGTTATTGAGATCAAATCTACATAGATTCTGATCTAGATGGTGATCTTGTAAATAACTGGGATTAGGCAAGTTTAATTAAGCTTTATTTACTGTATTTTTCCTAATGCCTTTATAGAGTTGCACTAATAGTTCTCAGTTATCACCCAGATGACACTGGATATATTTTTTTAAAGTTATTTTTTACTAATGGTAGAGAAGAGTGATGGGGTAAGAATAGAGATGGCACTTAGGTCTTAGAATTTATAGTCCCAGTTTTCTGCTCCCAAGAATCATTATCTGTGGAGAGGCTTTGCTAGATTTTATATGATTCTCTCCCCCTGCCTTCTCTGACCTGTTGTATTTAACAAGGTAATAATACTTCCAACTCCATAATCTCTGGTTCCAGAGAGATTTACATCCCTCCCCTCCACTCCCATTTAGATAATGTTCTAATTCTCTATGATCATATAGTTTAGTTTAGTTCAACAAATACTTATTGGGTACCTCTACGTTAGGCACTTTATTGGAAAAAGAAAAAGATAATTTATACACTTTCCCTGAAACTTTGAGATCCTGAAATAGTCAGAAAACAATAGAGAAAAATAATTTGTTTTCAGATAGGTTAAAAGAAATTTCACTTGTCTATTAATGTAGCAGGTCCATAATGAAGTCAATCATAGCACAACTAGTGCTAGTTCTGTTTTCTCTTTGGTTCAATATATTTTTCTACATTTTTTTTTTTTTTTGGAACGGGGATATTTAGTGTTTGCAAATTCTGTCAGTTTCTGTTTGTGAAGGACTTCATTTTCCCATCTTATCTGAAGGAGAGCTTTTCATAACATTCTTGGGTGGCAGATCTCATCTTAAAGCATTCTGATCATATTATTTCATTCTCTCTTTGCCTGTAGTATTTCTTCAGAGAAGTTTGACCTTATCTTGATGGGGGTTACTTTATAGGTTAAATACTTCTTCCCCCTAACCAATTTCAATATGCTATCTTTGTCTTGAATGTTTGAAAACTTCACTAATATGTATCTTAGGTCTCTCTCTCTTTTTAAGGTACCTTGGTCTTCTTTTAGCTTTATGAACTTGTATACTAAGTTCCTTCTCCAAGTTGAAGAAGTTTTCCTCTGTTATTTCTTTAAACGAGTTCTCTCTTCTCTTCTCTCTCTGTGATACCCAATTATTCTTATATTGCCTTTCCTCAGATAATTCCCAAAGTGTTTCTTCAATTTTTTCTTTTTCCCCTTAGATTCTTTTTGTGTTATCTTCAGGGTAACTGATTTGGTCTTCCATTTGGTCTATTTTATTTCCATAGATTTACTGAGAATCTTTCAATCTTATCTATTCATCTTTTTTACATCCTGTATTTTTGGTTTTTTTTTTCTATTTAAAGGTTCAATAATGACATGGGGCCTGCGGAAATCTATCAAGGGTTGCTGGGTCTATGTCTTGCCAGATCTGTTTTGCTGCTTTTGGGCCTGTCAAGCTGCTGGTATTCACAACATCTGCTCAGGTGGGTCTGTTCCTTGCATATTGGGGTCTCTATCCTCTAGTGTGTGCTACAATTGTCTGTTTTCTTTCAGGTGTTTCTGGGCATTTTGTCTTCTAGAATTCCTCTATCTGTATGTGGCACAGATGAGACAAGCATTTTCATTCTGCCACTATCATGTCCTGCCTACCAAAAATTATTAAAAAAAAATCTCAGTAGTTTCTGATTCTGCTTATAGGCTTTGTATTTCTAGCAGATTCACTTTTTAATTTTTTCAGATTGACCTAGAGGCTGCAAATGAAGTTTTCTATAACCTAAGCAAAACTATGAACAGGCAGTTTTTCAAGAATTCTCAGAAAAAGAGGGACTAAATTCCCTTTCTTAAGCCAGGGTTAAAATGGTATTTTGACACATTCTGAATAAAAATGTCAGGAGATGCTATAATTAGATAGCATCTGAACATGACGTTATCTTTAAAAAGGAAAAAAAAAACCAGCAACATTGATTATCAAACACTTTCTATTGATTAATGATCACATGGAACTTTAGCAAGAAGAAGGACTAGCTTTGGTGTCCAAATTCACAAAATTTCTTCCCACACAGAGGTTGTCCATCATCTCAATAGTAGAGTGGGCATAATTAACTGTCATTGACTAAGTATTGAGTTTGCACAGATGAATATCTATGGCTAGTATCTAATACTCTTTGTTATAGAAAGATTATTGGTTGCAATATTTCATTTTAATAAATGAAAGGCAGTATTTCTTAACATGTAATTTTTAGTTCTTCATTCTTATTTTCTATATTTCAACTATACTGAGCCCAATTTATTATTTTCCAATTATCAGAATGTGATAAGACCTATAATCCAAATGTATAATTTAAAGTATACTCTTAATTGAAGCCTTGCTCATATCCCATTCCCTCTTTTTACCTCATTTCCTGTTGACATTACTGCAACCACAGGAAACTTATTAACTTCAACCTCTGTGACACCTACAGTTGCCAGGAGACCAATTTCTGAGGGGCCCATGTGGGTTCCTTTGGCCAAAACACATTCTCCTCTTTTAATGTCATGGCCGATGGGTCTGAAAATCAAAACAGAACCATAAACAGTATAACTATAAGCAGTATAAGAACAGTATTTTCTCAATTCAATGGAATATTTTAGTGTTAGAGGATACTCAAAGGAATAAAAGAAGTCAAGAGATAAGGAAGGAGCAGAATAATAAAAGGAAGTGATTCTAAAAATAGTACACTTTTTAAATTAAAAATTATAAGCACAACTGAATAATGAAACAGGATTTATGTCAATCACTACTATACAGGAATATGTTACTTCATATTTGGAAATTCTTTTACAAATTATTTTGTAATTTACTGTCAAAAACACCAATTGCAAGCCTTTATTGATAAAAGAATTTATATGAAAATATCTAGTGGCAATAGTGATAAGAAGTACATAGCTTGTTGACTTTGTGATAAGGACAAAAATGTTAATGATTTATATTAAAGAAGCTAACTTCCATTTGGACCACTTAAATTGGTCCAGTTCTATGGCTGAAGGTGTCTATTCATGTTAGTCTTTGCCATAGGGGTAGGAGAAGTATAGTTTTGTTACAAGGATATGTTGAGTAGTATTAATGGGATCAGGGGAAACATTCCAAAATAAGAAAAATAGTTTAATGTATATGAACTGCTTATGGTAGGACAGTGGCCTCATCTTTGTATATAAAGAACAGTAGACTCTTCCATTACTGCTGAGCAGAGGAAAGGCTATGAGTTAATCTTGTAAATATTCACTTTTGGCATTATCTGTGTTAATAATAAATTCTGGATTATTTAAAGGTAGGGTTAGACGATTTTGGATTATCTGGAAGTGGAATTAATTGTGGATTATGTAGATTAATTTTACCTTCTCATATTGCTTTTGATTATTTCATTTACCTTTACAATCTTCATGAAAAAATTGGTAGGGTAGAGGACGCAAAATTTAGAAAATTCATTTTGCTGCTGTTAAAAGTCCTGATGATTAATGATTAGTTGATTGAGCTGTGTTATCATCATGTAGAATTCATAATCACTTCAAAACCAAAGTTGATCATACATTCTACATGTTATGAACTTACCTGATATCTTGGCCTGGTCGAGCTTGCACCAGAATTCGTACTTCAAGTTCCTCAGTGCCCTACAGTTAAGAGCAAGTCATGTAATCTTGAACAGAAAAATTTAACAAAATTTCTGATGAAAAGAATTGAGCTATCCAGATGCTTTTATCATCTGAGAGTCCCAGAATGTATACTAATATAGAGAAACAGAAAATCATTTGCTTAACTTTTGAACATAATAAATTTCTACTACAGGCTTGTACAAAATTAGGTTTGATGCCAAGGATAAACAAAGAAAATGTTCACACTTAAAAAGAGGACCAATTTAACTACTAAGTCTGATTCAATATTAGAGAATGTAAGTAGCAATCTCATGATAAAACTACATATATATGTATGCATATATGTATATAAACATATACATATATAATATAGCCCTAATAGATACAATACATGTACATGGAGATAACCTGTCTCTTTTGTTCTCATGAATCATGGGTTTAATACTATATCAAGTTCTCAAATATCTGCAGAAATTTCAGAGGAAAAGTTATAGTTTGTGTGGTAGTAGATTTCTGTAAATTAATGGTGATCATCAATTTTACATTCATGGGCTGTGAATAATATTGTGACACTGGAACTGTGTCTTGTCATCTGGCAGAGTCTGTGAATGCATGTGTTCTGGATTTCAATGCTCTGCTAGCTTTCTTGATGCTAATAAATCTGTTGGACATTTTTAACAGCAGGCAATGCTATCTGTATGCTAGGGTTTCAATTTTATAAGCCTGACAAGTAGGAAGGTGATTAAAAAGAAAATCCCCAGATAAGTAAAGTGGCATTTTCTTAGGTTGTCTGAACTTTACTATATACCCAGCTTAGGAGAATATATATTTATTTTTACTTCCAGTTTTTAAAATTTATGATCTTTTAAAACTTTTTCAGAAAATAAGATAGTCAATATAGCTTCAGTTTAAACTATTCTACCTTTATTAGTGGCTAGTCCTCTAAATTTCAGTAATTGCAAATGGTTTTAGGAATATGAAAGCATGATTAGACAAAAAAATTCAGGTTCCTTTATTTTTGACAATGGAACAATAGCTTGCATAAATTTAGTATTTCCAGTTTTTCATTAGTAGCACAGATTTTTTTGAATTATAGAAAATCAGAGTTGAAAATATAGGTTGGCTTAGAGTAATATTAAAAATATTTACTAAGTGTTCTTTGTTATATTCTTCTCTATTAATTTCTTCTTCACATTTTATCAGAAAAAGTCATGGGCAAAATTTTCAACCAGAAGTATGTCAACAATATCTAGGCTCTTATAAATTGAGGCTCTTCTACTTGTTTGTATGCATAAATTACTGGATCAAATGTGTTCAAGTTCTGCTATGACTACATTAATGATCATAAAAAATCTGTAGCAAAAGATTTTCAAGTTAAGGCAAATCCTTATTTACTTGAGACCCATATACTATAATGTAAGATCCTAACATAAGCAATACAACTAGGTTACTCTCATAACCATTGGAGAAAGTGGGCTTTAATTATAATAATGCCATACTAGCGTGGTAAGACCTGGTTATCACGTACATCATCAGATTCCCTGATAAGTTCGGTATCTTCGACTTGTACTACTGCATCAGCACCGCATGGGATTGGAGCACCTGTTGTAACTCGCATGACTTGTCCAGGCATTACTGTCTGAGTTGGCTGGAAATACAATTATGTAAAAAAGAATTGATTTATTTTGTTACCACAAAGAAAATGTTTGAAGGAGATGAAACATTTTTAGAAATAAACACTAAAAGCAAAGTCTTACAGTCTTATTCATTTTGGGCCAAAGCTACCCATAAACAGGTACCTATACATACACCAAGGAGGCTCTAATTTTAAAGTAATTACTATTAAATATCTTTCTTGATGTTCTGTTTTCTTTTGAAGAACTGACCCCATACAGCATGGGTAAGGACCTAATCATTCTAGTGCCAAGTTTAGCTTCAGAGATGCGTAAATGGATCTCCTAAATGGTTGAATACAGTGATGAAGGAGCAATGATAACCATCAATGGCACCATTTTTGTCCTACCTACTTCCACACTCCTCTTTATTAGCAAATACGGTAGCACATGTTAAGGCAAGAAAAAAAAGGCATGGCTTACAGCTTCTGCCATAACTTCCACATTTATTTATTTCCTCCTTTATTTTTGTATGATGCTATGCATGCTTGACAATAGCAGAAGAGGAAAGTGACTTTGTTTTTCGCTGCTTCTGTTTTATAAGACTGGGGTTCTTTTACTTAGCATTTACAAACTCATCCAGATTAACATATGATCTTTATTTCCTCTTAAATATAATGATGCTCATGGCACATTTTAAGTTTGAAACAGATTCTTCTTTTGTATACCTCAGGACTACTGTTCTAAGATTCAATTCAATTTGTTCTCAAGCTCTTGTGCAATTTCTGGCAATATTTGTTTTTGAATTATGTAATTTAAGTAAATATATAAGTCAATGCTACACGAATGTGAAAAATATTATTTTCTATAAAAGTTAAACTTATGGAATAACTTGATTTAAAAAATTCAGCTAAAAATAACTGTTAAACTATAAAAGCAAATACAAAGCAACTATAAAACTTATAAAAATAAAAATCTAAAAGGATTTATACTCAGATACTTTGCAAATGTGCTTCAATTTTTCTCTACAGAAACCAAAACTGGAAATAATTGATAGTGTTTTTGGTTATGATTTATATAGAAAAGATCAGATAGAAATTCAAATATAGTGTATCTGCTATTCAAAAGTAGAACCTTTTATTTGGTATGACTTGGTGGATGATTTTTTGAGAATGGTTAGAAATTTTCTGTATAATGAAAATAGTGTTCCCAGACCCAAAAACTAACCTACCAAATCAATCATATGTAAAAGGAGGAGTCTCTTTCAAGTAGTGGAGAAAACCTTATTTATAATACAATTGGCATTCTATTACATTATTGACAAATATTTATTCATTTCTTTAGTTAAATATATATTTACTTAAAGATATAAAGTAATTTCCCACCTTAAATCATTGTCAATCAAATGGTAAATTACTGGCCCCAGAAGCATTAAATAAGAGAATTCCTATTCTACTTCCATTATGGCTAATTAGTGCTTTATTTCTTAATATAAATATATGTATTCCCATTCCCTGTTAAATCCCTAATGAGAAAATTTAATCTAAATGACATGCTAGAAAGGTTAAATAATTTGCTCCTTCTAAATTTCCTTGTTTATGACACAAGTTGGAGAAAATGTGAGAAGACCACTTGAAAATTAAGTTCTCTTAGAATATTAATACGTATACAGTAGGAATGAACCAGTTAGAGGGTTGGAAAAATGCTTGTGGAATGTGTGTGAGACACAACCACCACTACCATACCATATGTTAATAAACCAGATTTTTTTTTTAAAGATTTATTTATTTGTGCATACAGAACTGGGGTACAGGCCAGAGGCTCAGGGCCAGCGAACGGCTTCACCAGAGACAGAGTGGGGAGCAGAACAGGCAGACTGATGAAGTACACTGCTGAGGGGAGCAGCGGGCGGGTCAGGAGAGGTCTGCCACACCATGTGGTCACCTCCGGGGCAGGAGGCAGGTGGGATGGGAGGTGGCTTTAGCTTCTCAGTGCTGTGCTTTAACCCGCTACTCCACCAGGGAGGGCCACACCAAATTTTTTTTAAATAAAACTTTTTAGTTTTCTTACATCATTGTACTTTTTTTTTTTTTTTACAGTATTTTATTTCCCCCTCAGGTGTAGTCCCTGAAAATCTCCCACCACATCATCCTTTATGTTCTTTCCTCCCCTGTTTTGAGCCCTCTTGAGTCCCTCCCCTGCTGTATGCCTCAGATCTATAGTTTGCCCACATGTTTTTGTCTTTTTTCCTTTTGACACATTGTTCAGCTTCCCTATATTCTCCCTCTAAGTGATACCATCCAATATTTTTCTTTTTCCTTCTGACTTACTTCAGTGAGCATAATCCCTTCCAGCTCAGTCCATGTTGCTCAAATGGAATGAGTTTATTTATTAACTTTTTAAAAAATTATTGAGTAGTATTCCATTGTGTTTATTCCACATCTTCTTGATCCAATCATCAGTTAAAAAATAATTCTTTTGTTCTCTAGATAGGAAATTCTCTTTAATCTCTTGATAATCCCTCTCTAAGATTTCCATTACAAAATGGTATAAGTTTAGAACTAGATGTCAAAAGTTCATAAAACAGAAAACTTTGTGGTCTTTGAGGTCTATGAATCTTACCTGTTCACCAGCTTGGGATTCTCCAATGATGAAACGATCTCCTGGTCCATCAGCAGCTGTGAAATAAACCAAGCACAAACATCAGAATAGATTTATAGCAAGGAATAGCAATCTAGTGTTGGAATCTAAAGTTTAACTTAAGTGATCAGTAAATCTTTTCACCTACCATCGTAAATAAATACCATCATATCCATGGGCATGCACCAGTGACTTTGCACAATCAGTGATATATATCAATATATTGCAATATATATTCATATGTCTCAATGTTTTTGCAAAATTTTAAAGGATTTCATTATATTTTCTTCTTTATCACCCAGTCTGATTTTCATAATAACCTAACGAGGCAATAGAATATATATTCTTTTCATTACTTTATATTTGAATGAAATGAATTACACAGTGAAGGAACTTAGATTAAAAAAATGTTAAATGTCTTAAATAAGTTCTAGTTAATGGTAGAGTTAAGACTAAAATCCTGTCCCTTAATTAATTACATCTAATTAATTAGTTAAATTCACATTTAAGGTGGGTAAGAATATTTTTCTGAATCAGGATACATAAGCAGTGGTATTTCAGATTTTTTAATGATTATTTTTAAATGGAAAGAGATATAGAATTAATATGGGAAAATGTGTCCCATTTTATTTTTCTGCATTTAGCACAGTAATGACTGGGTAAAAAATATTCCTAGAGAGAAATTTTTTTCAGAAGGAATCTAATATAGACTTCAGACAAATATGACTATCAAGACAATGCACATCTAACAAGCTTTATGATAGTGGTCATTACCTTCAGTCACCTGCACAGAGGTGAGTTCTACACAGAAAAAGTAACACTTTTTATATGACTGTTTAAATTATCTGTTATCATGTTAATAAAAATAAGTATTTGTTTTATTGAAAAGGAAAATATGAAGTGTGAAATCTATTATTTCTTTATTGACTGCAAAGGTTTTGTTTTTTTAAAAAGGCATTATAATATTATTTATAGTGAATAACACTCTCCCCTTTATTTTTTGGCAGATGACTAAATGACTGTGGTTACTCTGATGTGGAGATGGAAAAAATGAACACTAAGTTTCTTCTATATACCAGATGTTGGATTTTGTGCTATGAAAACATTATCTCAGTTAATAAACTCTTGATTTTATTGCATTTGGATCCTATTGTATTTTCACATTTACTTGTAAAAATAGGAATAGTTTTCCTGAACTGCTACTCTTATGCTGTTTTCAAGGGTTCTATTTTTTAACTTAAAACAAAAAAGAACAATTTAAAACACACATAGCATTCATTGTTTCAACAACTAACAGTTTTATCTCCTCCACTTATTTTTGTAGTTTTTTAAAGCAAATCATGATTTTCTAGCTGTAGAAAATAAAAAGGTGAGTTATCTTTCTAACTTGCACATTAATTGCCTCTTAACTGATGCAATTACTTGAATAAACTTATCTTTAATCATTTCTCTACTGGAGCAATTACCAGTTTGCCATTTCCCATCAGCAAGCTAAACATTTCCTCATTTTGCTCCTGTACGAGGGCAGATTAGAATGGTTTTAGAGTAAAGCAAAGCTGAGTTTCCAATCATGGTTCTGCCTATTTTTAGTCTTAGAGCATTCAGCAATTAACCTCTCTAACTTTCATATTTCTGGTTGACAAAAACAGGGGTGACAATATCTAAAAAATAATATCATTTACAGATGAGTGGATAAAGAAAGTGTGGGTCATAGAGATACACAATGAAACACTACTCAACTTTAAAATGATGAACTCTTGTCATTTGTGACAACACAGATGGAATGGGAAGAGGTTGTTCTAATTGAAGTAAGTCAGGAGAAAAATAAGCACTGAGTGATTTCACTCATGTAGAATATAAAGAAAAAAGCAGAGGTACAGGTAAAACCACATCAAAATAAACTCTTGAAATCTGACTGCACAACTCAAGCTATCACAAGGAGAGGATGTGGCGAGGTTCAAAGTGTGGAAAGGGCCCAATGGCCTATGGTGGAGGGTTATTTGTGCTTTGTAGGTATGGTGCATAACACATATTTGAAGAGGTGAGATCCTACATACCCAAAACATACAATGTTGTGAATCAATGCAACCTCAATAAAATAAAAAAAAAACATAATACCTAAATATTAAAAATAAAACTTTAAAAAGTTTTGAACTCCTTTCACCCATTCACTAAATATTTTCTGCATGTCTTCCATGCCACAAGTGTCAGATTGTAGGGACAGAATATAAAATAAAATCAAATTATTTGCTTCTTTCTCTTTTCTTATTTGCTTTTATTCTAATGTGATACAGTGTACTATAATGATTTTCAAACTCTAGATCATATACATGCTTTGTTATAAAGTTCAATGTATAAACAAAATTTTAATGACAAAGAATAGAAAATATATTTCAATGTAAGAATGAATAGTTTCATGAAACCTGCTTTTGTATAGATGTATGTCTGTATTTTTATGTTTTGTGTATGTAATACAGGTATATATATATATCACTGACTCTGATGTACAATATATATGTGTGTCTTCCCAGGTGTGTAGATAAAACACTCTTAAAGCCATTGATGTAGGGGTGGATAGGTATTGATCAAACAACCACATTAATGAATATATAAGTACACAAAAAAGAAAACCTCTGTAAAGGAAATGAGCATAGTTTTATGCAAGCATACAATGAAAGTATCTGAACTACACCAGAGGGTCAGGGAAATCCACCCTGTTAGAAAGGTTCTGATTTGGAGATGAGTAAGAGCTAAGTAGGCAAAGGGGTGGTGTGTGTGTGTGTGTGTGTGTGTGTGTGTGATTGAAAGAGAGAAAGAGAGATAGCAGAAATGTTCCATCCAAAGAGTATCAACTAAAGACTGAACAATATATGTAAAGGACTCTGGTTTATGGCCTCTTTATATCTTATATTTTAGTCATTCTCAACACCTAGCAATGTCGTTCCCAAGAGTACCAAGATAATTCATTTCAATTTTCTAACATATGCTTCTTCGCTGGTTGGAGTTTCCATTTCCCTGGAGTGTTCCTTCCTATCCCTGCTTCTCATTAAAGACAGCATTTAAAACTCACCTGTATGAAGTAGTATCTGACACTCTTTCCTTCAAGGTTCACTACTTTATCTTTTGTTTCCCCTGAGTATTTCTGAAATTACTTTAATGATGACTCCCTACAGTGATTTTTTGTTATTTGTCCAGGGGGATCCCTAGCACTTGCTGTATAAAAGGCATTCAATAAAATTTCAATATGTAGAATATTCAAAACGTTGAAGAAATGGATGAGTGTGGCTCCTAAGGAACTTTTTAGAAAGATGTATGCATGCATGGAATAAATATTTTCCAGCAGAAAAATGCTCTATTTTAAAAGTATTTGAATTTCATTTTCTTCTGATCCATGTATAGTTTCCTTCAAACTTTGAGTCAATATTCACTATCTTTACAATGTTTAGGAAGTCTGATTAATTCTATATAAATTATGTTAGTGTTCTGTTTAGCCTAGTGCCTTAATTCATCACTGATAATTAATAAACACTTGCTAAAAGAACAAAAAATGAATTTGAAATTTCCATAATACATGCAATGTTTGCAAACTGACTTACAGGTGTTAGTATTGTGCTTTGTAAATTTTCTAAAGTTTACAGTGTGTATAATATACAGTGTGTATATTTATCTAAATCAGCTAGCTTATGTACTCATTAGAGGTGGGGTTACTTTATTTCTGTTTTGAAGCCCTCTACTCTTCAATCATTCTCTTGTTTCCTGTTCCCTAAGCATGCAAAAGCATGCACTGAAATGTTTTGCTTGCACATCAATGTTTTGCACAAATGATCCAAATAAATGTTAGTGAATATTGAGTGGCTGGAAATAATTTGCAGTAAACCTTTTATAGTGTCAGGGAAGCCAATATCCAAAAAAGCCCTTAGCTGATTCTAAACAGCAGTCTTTGTTATCATGAAGGACGTGCTGACTGGGGAGGGATGATGTGTGGTCATTAAACTATATTCTCCACATTGCTCTAAACCCTTCTATCTGAGAAATGTTCCTCTTTATATCACTGGCGAAGGAAGCTCAGTCAACTAACATTATAGAAGTTTCCTGGTATCAACAGGAGTCATTTTGATTATTTTTCTTATAACAATCCTTCTAACCCCTTAATATGCATACAAATTATCTGGAGAGCTCAAATTGATCATTTTCAAGAAAGCTGAAGTTGGGATTCTCAGATCTATTTTTTTTTTTTGCCTTTATTAACATCTAAGATGGAATTGTGAGACCATGAGCACCACATCTCACAGATGGTGTGACTGCATCAAGAGGATGGTTGCTTAACTAGTGGGATGGGTGAGAGAACTCTTAAAAAATATCAACAGTAAACATATTATATTGATTTTAATTGGTAATAGGCTACTTTCATTTAGTTTTTTCCACTTTCAACTTTCAAATCCACTTCCAGTAAATGCAGTTTCAGGATAACTAAGTTATTGGTTTTCCTGTTATTTATGTCATCACCACTTGATTCAGGTTTTCTTTATGGCCTCTATTCCCTCTTTCCTGCCTCCATTTTAAAGCTGCTCCTATTTCTGATTTCCTTAGTCTTTTTTTTTTTTTTAACTCTTGTGGTTTTTCAACCCATATGCCTTAAAGCACGTGATCCTCCAACTGGTTTGGAGTTTTATCCCATATGTTTCTGAAGAATATTAGCTAATGCTTAGTGATCCAAGGCAAGTTAGCAACCTCTTTACAACTATAGGATTAGCAATACTCATAGGTGCCACTGGTTACTACTAGAAGGGCTAAAGAAAAGGCAGAGAAGAAGAAGAAGAAAAAAGGGAGAATAAAGGGAGCTGGGAGAAGGGTACTAGAGTAAAGAAGATTGGGTGGAGCGAAGGAGATACACAAATTAGAGTACACAATAACTTTAAGGATATTCTTTACCACCACCACCACCACCACCACAACAACAACAACAGAGAAACTGCGTAGGAGTGATATTATCACGCAGTAAAGACTAAGACCATGCTTTTTTGTTCACTGATGACATTTGCTGCCTTAAATATGATATGATATGATATATATATATATATGTATGGAGAGAGAGAGAGAGAGAGAGAGAGAGACACCAGTCATTCCTGCAATGAGACTGAACCACATCCACACAGACAAAAAGTGCTGTCTCTGATATACGTTACATATCTTAAAGAACTAGCAACAACTCATAGAAGGAGAATGTGAATTGGCTGTACTGTAGGTAATCTTCTGTGAGAGGTCATTTTAGGTTTTTTTTGGTGGGTATAAAATAATTAAAACAACCCACTCTAAACCAAAAGAATAAGTGAGGTACTAAATGGTAATTTTACATAAAAATTTCTTTGACAGATTCACAGTAGCAGAAAAGTTCTTTTATGGCCCACATGGGCTTATTGTTCATTTTGACAAGAAAAGTAATTGTTTCTTTTTATTGAGCTGCTGTTACCTCATGTAAAATCACAGCACAATATTTTGTTGTCGCCAAATCCTTTGTTTTCTCCTATTTCATATAACCAACAATTAAAAAAATACTTTATTGTGCCTTTGGTATTCCATCTGTTACAGTTATTTTTTCTACTCTGTAAGAGTTCTTTGCCATTTTATAGTAAATCTATATGGTTACCAACTATAAGATCAAAACAGAACCTACATTTTGGATGTGGAATAAAAAGCAAGAACAGCCAACGAGATACTAAAATTTTCTTTCTGGACAATATTCATTATAATTAATACTGTGGAAGAAAAAAATTTACAAGAATAAAACTCCACAAATACCATTTAGGATTTATTATTTAAATTATCAGAACTATTCTAATTTAGTGAGAGCAAAATGAATGAGGTATATTGAAGATAGTGTTCCTGAGAAAGAATATACTAGTAGGAATTGATAGTCCCATCATTTCATTTACATAGAGCATGAGAATAATAATTTAGATAAATGTTATTCAGAAGTGGTCTAAGAATTTTTTTTTTTAAGATTTATTATTTATTCATATAGAACTGGGGTATAGGCCAGAGGTTCAGGGGCAATGAGAGGATTCACCAGAGACAGAGTGGGGAGCAGAACAGGTCAACTGACACTGCTGAGGGGGGCAGCGGGAGGGACAGGAGAGTCCTGCCATTCCATATGGGGCGGGAATCGAACACATGCTGAAGTGGCTTTAGTTTCTTAGTGCTACACTTTAATCTGCTGCACCACCAGGGAGGGCCCAGAAAAAGTTTTTAAAGTAAAAATAGTGATAGTAACAGATTATAAAACTTTTTGGTATTTATTTTTCTGTAGCTTTTAAAGATATAAGGTAATATTGATTTACAACACTGTATATGTTAGGGCAATAGGTTCATACATCTATGTTCAAATGCATGTTACACATCACATCTACCACCAAAGTACCCATAATCCTCCCATATAGACCAATGGGCTCTCCTCCTTTTACCTACCTTTTCCTGTTTAGGAGCCTCAATTCTGCAGTCATATTTCTAGGGTTTGTTTTGTTTCAGTTTTGTTCATTTCTTTTGTTTCTTTATATTCCACAAAGATTTTCTTAATATTTACAACTAAAATGATGTTTATTGAGATAGTACTGACTTATAACACTGTAGACATTTTAAGTGTGTAGGTTTACAACTCTACAAATGGATATTATCACACAATGCTCACCACCAAAGCACCAATAATCCGTCACTACAGTCCACTGAGCTCTCTTCTCTCCTTGCTTTCATCCCCATCCAGAGTCTGCAGCCATATTTCCAGGACTTGTTTTTGTCTGTTCCTTTGCTTTGGCCTTTGTATTATACACAAGTGAAATCATCTGGTATTTCTTTTTCTCTTTCTGATTTATTTCCTTTAGCACAATCTCCTTGAGATCCATTCACATTGTTGCAAATTGCAAAACCGCATCCTTTTCTATTTTTTAAATATAAAGCGGAATAGTATTCCATTTTGTATTTATACATTTTCTCTATCTACTCATCTGTCATTGAGTAAATAAGTTGTTTCCACACTTAGTTTTGTAAATGGTACTGCAATAAACATAGGAATTCCTTTTATTCTGTTGCATTCTTCAGGTAGATACTTGGGAGAGCAATGATGGATTGTACAGTAAATACACTTTTAAAATTTTGAGAAATCTCCATACTGTTTTCCAAAGGCTAGACTAGTTTACATCCTATATACAGTGTTTGAAGATTCCTTTTTCTCCATACTTTCAAGAATATTATGTATTTCTGGGGCAGTACTATCTCATTGTGATTTTTTGATTTTCATTTCTCTATAAGTAATGATACAAATATTTCCATGTTTGTTGGCCATATGTATGTCTTCCCTGGAGAAGATTCTATTTAGGTATTCTGTCCATTTTTGGATTGGATTCTTTGTTTTCTTATTGTTTAATTGTATGAATTCTTTGTAGATTTTGGATATTAGCCATTGTTGGATATATGATGTGAAAATTTTTTCCCCATTTAGTAGGGTGGATGTCTTTTGTCTTAATGATTGTTTTGCTGTGCTAAAGCTTTTTAGTTTTATGTAGCCCCATTTGTTGATTTTTTATTTTGTTTCCATTGCTACTGTAGTTAAATTTGCAAAGATAACTCTGCGGGCAAGATTGATAAATATGTAAAAAAAAGACTATTAGGTAGTTTTATTTTGGATGCAAGAATGTTTACTAAGGCTTTCTATGGTCTCATTTAATCCTTGCAACAAGCCACTGGAGTAAGTATCATTATAATTATTGCCATTTTATGGATGAGAAAAACCGAGGCTCAAAAAATTTAAGTGATTTGCTCAAAGTTATATAGATGGAACTGGTACTAGAAATCAAATCACCCTTGGCTCAAAGCCTATAGCCTGAATCATTTCCTATCCAGACTCCAACATAAAAAGATACTGCTAATAGGATGTGATGGAACATGGAGATTAATTGATGCATTTAATTACAAAAAGGTGTAGGGTCTAGGTTTAGGGTCTAGCAGTGACAACAACAAAAAGCAGTGAGAAATTCTATAAATGTCAGTTAAAAAGGACTGGCCTTTTTAATAGCTGATAAAATGGGAAACACTTTTATACATTTCTTCAATGATATCAGTCTTGCGCTAACCAATAGTAGTTTCTAAGCAATTCAGTTGCTTTTTGAAAGCTATTTGGTGTTTGCATTTTAAGTTATTCAGTCTTAGGCAACTTTGAAGGGATGAGCTGTTGCTATCATCTGGGGAACTGAAAGTTTGAAGTGTGGTATCTTCTAGAGAATTAGAGGTTTCCCTTATGCTGGCTTTTCAATAAGCCCTTTTTCAATGCTTGAGTTTACACAGGTGGAAAGAACTGCCCTACTTTATCTCTGTGTTAGGAAGCTGCTCTTCTTTCTTAGTCAATATAACTTTTCAACTAGAAAGGATTTAGAAAACTTCCAGACCAAGCCTGTCTGGTAACTTCCTGGTATAGGCTAAAATACTAAATTATGATGCCACATAGTATTTTTATCAATTTCTAAATATTTGTAGCAAGAATTTTTAAGTGACCATAATTTGTACTTTCACTAAAAAACTCTAAGGCTTACCAGAAAAAAAAAATGTGTATATTAACAGTGCTGTCAGTGAATGAAGTTATTTTTAGATCAAAGGGAAAAACAGATACAACAGTCACTAGGAGCCTGGACTGAGCACAATCTGAGAAGAAAAGTAGTGTATAAGTAAAATGATACTGAAGAAAACTAAAATACTTACCTCGGACAGCATAGCCATCTTTTACTGATGCTGGGAAAGGGGGTAGGTTGTCTTTTGCATATACGTCTTGAGCTAGAACTCGACCCATTCCATCTAAGAGGAAAAAAAGAGAATAATGAGAGCAATGGGCATGTGTGAACAACAGGTTTGTATATGGGCTCAATCAGACCTGATTTCTTTCACAAAGAATAGAAGACAGACAAAGAGATATATCTTGGATCTGAAATAAAAGATCAGATTCAGTTAATGGCAAGTAGTATTAACATTTGTGGAGATTATTTGACTATGAATAGCTAGTCATTAAAGGTGTATTTAAGTTGATCATCCTTTAACAGATGAAAGGTAATTTTCATATTTATTTCACTTTTAGAAGAATATTTGGTCATTAACAGTAAAATTCTTATGCTATATATGTAAAAAACATGCATAAATGTACATGTAAATAACCTTAACTATGTTAAGCTATATGTGTTTATACTAATAGAAAAATGTGGGAAGGCCATACATGAAAATAGAAAGCATTAACTATTTCAGTGTATTATAATTATACATGATTTTATTACCTTTGGTATGTACTCTCCTGAAAATTCCTGAGCTTTCCATAAAAAAAAAATCACATTTTTTATAACCAGAACGATTTTTTTCTTAAGTAAAGGACCTTCTATATCATTTAATTTGAATTTTAGTTTTTATTTTGACTTTATCAACCTAAAACATTAGTATAAGAAGAGAAATAACAACCTATCATGTGAGATTTTTCAGACCACTCTGGGTGGCAATCAGCTTTGTCAAGAGGTCAAGAATTTAGAATTCATACCAACAGAATAAAAGTTTCAAGAGTCTTGACCAATTCCTTAATCTTCTAGTCAGGATCTGTCATTATGTTACAGGGTAGCCCAGAGTGGATTGGGCCGCCTGTCTATGGGGCCTCACCAATGCACTCACAATTACAATTCAGTTATACTGCAGGTACATACAAAAGGGTCAATAATGGGTTTATTTACAAAAGGGAAAAGGAATAGGAAACAACCCAGGGAAAGAGAGCAGGATACAAAGTAAGTGGAATACCTTATGGCTAGGCTGACTGAACACACTAAGTCAAGTGGTCTGGGGAGCTGTTTCCCAAGTGAGCGAGCCAGAGCAGCTTGAGATGCAATCGAGCCCTATTTATCCCCCCAAATGTCCCAGAATCCATTCCTGCTAGCTCCGCCCTTGGGTCCTCGCAGTTCTCTCCCTGGTACTGCTGGGAGTTGTAGTTTCCAATTACTGGAGTAGGGTGTAGGGTCCAGAAAGCTGGAGTAGGGGGTGGAGTCCATAAGACTCTGCAGAGTTCCTTTAGGACATCCTTCCCCTTAACAATTATTATTTTTAAAAAGTAAAGTAAAAGTAAATAGGAGGTGGAAATGGAAGATAAGAAATAAAAACCTCAAAGAGATTAGCACTTGAATAGTAAACTCAAAGAAGCAGACTGTCCTTCTGGTGTGGGCAGGTTCATCCAGTAAGATGAAAGTCTAAATAGAACAAAGGTGGAGGAAGGCATTTGATAATTTTACTTCCTGCCTGCCAGTTTGACTTGGGGCATTGGTCATTTCATGCCACATGACTGGGATTTATAATATTAGCTTCTCTGGTTTACAAGCCTTCAGATGTGGACTAGAATTATACTACTGGGTCTCCTGAGTATCCAGATTGCAGAAGATGGATAATGGGATTTTCCGGGTTTAAAATCACATAAGAAAATTAAATCTCCATGTATATATCTTTATTTCCATCTTGTTGATTTTGTTTCTTTGGAGAACTCTAATATATATGGGATAGAAATAAACCATTGTGTATATGGGAAAAGGAACTTTGATGTAGGTACTAAAACCATTCAATGAGGAAAAGATGATCATTTCAACAAATGGTGCTGCAAAAACTGGATATCCAAAGGCAAAAGAATAAAGTTGTACTCTTATCCTATGTAAACAAAAATAATTCAAAATAGATTAATGACTAAATTGTAAGACCTAAAACTACAGAATTCTTAAAAGCAAAGGGGAAAAGCTTTATGACATTGGATTTGGAAGGGATTTCTTGGATATAACACCAAAAGCACAGGCAACTATAGCAAAAGCAAACAAATGGAAGTATATTGCACTTAAAATCTTTTGTGCACTGAAAAATATAATCAGCAGACTAAAAAAGGTAACCTACGAAGTGGGAGGTGGAAGCAGCCCCAATATCTGCTGATGGGAATGGAGAAAGAACATCCATGATAAAATATGGATGGAAACTTGGAGCCATTATGTTAGTGAAATAAGTCAGCTACAAAAAACAGACTTCATGATTCCACTTATACGAGGCATTGAAAGTAGTCATTCTTACAAAGTAGAATGATATTTACAGAGGGCTAGGATGAGGAGTATGCTTTGTGGGTAGACTGTTTAAGGGGTATAGATTTGCAGTATGAAAAAGTTCTATAGATTTGTTTCACAACAATATGAATTTACTTAATGCTTCTGAATGACACAATAATGGCTAAGACTAAAATTATGTGTTGCTTACTACAGTGGAAAAAAAAAGTTATGAAGTACTGATACATTCTACAGTATGAACCTTGAAAGTATTATGCTAAGAGACCATGTATTATATGATGCCACTGTATAAAATGTCCACAATAGTTAGATCTGCAGAGTTAGAAAGTAGACAGCAGTTGCTTTGGGCTGTAGGTGATAGGAATGGAATGACAAGTAAAAGGGATGGGATTTTTTTGAGGTGATGAAACGTTTTAAAATTGACTGTCCTGGCCCTTCCTCGTGGCGCAGTGGGTTAAAGCACTGCACTAAGAAGCTTAAGCCACTTCCGCATGAGTTCGATCCCTGCCTGCCCCGGAGGAGATCCACATGGTGTGGCAGACCTCTCCTGACCTGCCCGCTGCTCCCCTCAGCAGTGTACTTTGTCGATCTGCCTGTTCTGCTCCCCACCTTGTCTCTGGTGAATCCTCTCACCCTCTACATCTCTGGCCTGTACCCCAGTTCTATATGAATAAATAAATAAATCTTTAAAAAAAAAATGACTGTCCTTATGCTGACACATATCTGTGAACATACTAAAAACCCTCGAATGGTATAACCTAAATGGGTGAATTTTGCGGTATATGGAATGTATCTCAAGAAAGATTTTTTTTTAAATCAAGGAATGAAGATAGGATACTTAAAGATGACAACTTCTCTCACTTCAGCATATCATTGTATTTAGAACCGTCAAGAAAAGTCTCATTTATAGAGTACATCTGCCATCTAGATTTATAGGCCTTCAAATAACCATGAAAAGAGTGTTTTATTTGGAAAGACAGAACTGCTTCATACTTGGTTAAACTTACTATATAACTGGGTGATTTTTTTTTTCTTTTAATTTTGGACTAATGGTAATTGTAGGAGTTGTTGTCATTAAGGCAAGTTAAGTCAGATACCTACAGAAATGTCTTTGATATTTTATCATCAGAGAAAATGTATATTACCTCAAGTTTTGGTCTAAAAATTTAAGGCCAAGGAAAGGATATGGAGGATAATATACAACTGAGTAAAAATTGGTAAGACCTCCCAACTGGCAGCATATGCCAGAGAACTGAAGAAATATATCACATAAACCTCTCCACTCAACACAAGAACTATATCCATAGCCTCAGCAGAATTTAGGACTAAGCGATGATAGCTTTTAAGCCATCAATATTAGACTTTATTCAATGTTTGACCAGATGATCTATTTGGAAGGTAAAAAAAAAAGTATGTGCTAGTGCTTTCAGTTACTACACTACACTACATGGGACAGTCTTTCCTGCATGCATATGGATAGTTACAAAGGTGTTAAGCCATTCCTTTGCCCATAGATGGAGTCTCAGTATCAGTGCTGAATAAACTTTGGGCATGTCATTTTAGAAAGTGGTACATAGACTTCAAACTTCAATAGAAACCAAGCAGCAGTAGCCTCTCAACTAGACATAATGGCTATTTTAAGTTTAGTATTTGTCAGAGAAACAGCAGCAGGCAACTGAAGTTGTGGGAACCAGTCTTCCTTCAAGATATGATTTCAGGAAAACATTAACAAAACTTCTTCCCCCTGTCACTGCACTCCAGTGAGAGCCACATTTATAATAAGCAAAAGACGGTTTGCCCAATATATAATTAATATAACTAGTATTCTTTCTTAGGAACATTTGGTGGTGGGAGTTTATAGCTCCTCACAGTTTACAGTGAGCATTTCATTTGTAGAAAGATAGGTTGTGTGCCAAGATGTTCTAGTCGTGCTTTCAGAGTCTGAGAAGATAATGTTACATTCTGTTCTACTTTTCCTAGACACTGTATTCCCAAAGTTTTGTAAAATAGCTTATTCAATCTGATGATGATTACATAACAAATATGCATACATCTAGTTCGGTAGTAGTCAGAAATCTTGAAGGCAGGATTTTATTTCACTGGGACCCTCTTAGCTGTATATACAAATAAGTCATTGTAAGAGGTTGATAAGAAAGAAGGAGTGGAAAAGACTGATTTATACTGTTTTGTGTGATGGAATGGTTGGTCAAAAGGTGGTACCTTTATATGTTGTCAGCAGGATACTACAATATAAGATGATAACAGTAATTAATGAATCCTCTAGTCTCTGAAGTACCAGCTTTTTTAAACTGGGATTACTAGCCTAAAAATATCTTTAGATTTATTCAAATGGCTGACAATTGGCAAACTCCAAGGAAAATCAAGATGGAGTTATTAGGTTGAATATAATTTGTGTGCATTGAACCCAAATGATTCTTCAGGTGGTAAAATAAAATCAATTTGTTTGATTGGGCATTTATTTGGACCCAGATAATACTCTTTTCTTGCTCCTTATATTAAGAAGTTGGAAGAACTGAGTGGCTTTTGGATGCAAGATGGACAAGCACTTTATTTTCTCAAAGTCACTTACCAAAATGACCCCACAGTTGTAATGCTCCATGTAGTTAGTTCTAAGAAGTATTTGAGGAAAGTTAAAGGAAAATTCTTGAGTTTAGTGATTCATGAAATTGATTTATTGTCCTTACCTTAGTTAACTAAGGTATTGTCAGCTACATG